CCACACGCTTGCGATGAACCTACGCTTAGCGCAACCCCAAAACAGACTCGAGTTGAACCTGCTATGAGTTTTTACATGCATTGGGCCCCGCAATGAACCCTGGATCGTTATGAAATCCCAATTCGTTAAGAACTGAGCTCGAATATTAGTTGCATGTGTAATTTCAAAGTGACGAACATGACCAGGTGCCTTATAGGTCTAATGAGGCATTGCCCGCCAAGCAATAATGTCACTAATGCCACGTCGGTTAAGTAAGGTGCAAAAAGTAGTAGCACACATGGGTTATGAAGATCTTCGGGTGAAATGAAAGCTAATCATCGAAGAGATCCCCATAGGAACACATGGCGAAACCCTAACAATGCTCCTTAATGACCGACAATGAATCTAATGTTCCCTTTCCTAGTAAAAAAACAAACACTTTTAACTCCTTCCTTTCAGGATCTAAGGATCTTCCTCATAAATAGAGATCCTTCTCATAATGAAATTCATTTAGCCATTGATTAACCCTATTATTGGACTCCCTGCTCAGCTGTTTCTCCACCCTCTTTTCCTTAATCCTCTGATTGACTCCTCGCCCGTGATCTTCCTCTGTCCTTCAAGGAGACCACCCCCTAACCTAACCCCCACCTTGCCTACAATAAGCAATTTGCACTTCTCATTATTTTCCAATGTTGGAATTCTCTTCAACTACACATACGTGAATCCTAACCGATGGACTTGATCGACAGACTCCGTCCTATAGGATTATACGAACTTGACAACTGATGGGGTGAGCTATGTGCATTAGGAATCTTGGCTCCACCTCTAATCAATCATCAATTATCATTGAGTGTCCCAAAGAGGGAAAGAGACCTTAGTGATGCTGTCTTTATGAATTAGGAATCTTCTATCTAGGTGGTAATACATGGGTTTCACATGGGTTCAATCAGTGATCCATGTGCCAAATTTCAGCATAGTCCTTTACCATATAGCTAAAGGAACACTTAGCTAAGGTAGCGTACGTAGATCCACATCGAAATACATGCATGTGTTAGAGGGCTCTTGTCTTTGAGAAAAAAAAGGAAAGAAAGAGAAAACTTGTCAGCAGTGCTCTAAGACCCTAAGTTGACCAGGCGGTTGAACCAGTGACCTTTTTGAGTCTTGGTTGAACAATGGTTCAGCTAAAACTATGAGTCTCTGACCCTATGAGCACTCTAGTATTATATTTGCTCTGACTCATAAGATTAACTTGGAGGGCTCTTATAATTATTCTTATCATCGTTTAAACCTTGTTCCAACTACATGCAATCACATATATAAATCATGTTTCACCATTCCCTTGACATGAATAGTGCCCTTATCATTCATTCTATGTGTCAAAAATAGGTAATTAGGGATGACAATTTCTGCTCTACCCCACGGTACTTACCTTAACATGATGGGTTGTTTTAATTGAAGGACGGGTTTTAGGGAAGGGATGAGTTTTGGGATTCTGCAACCCGTATAGGTATGGATAGGATAAACCCAACTTGCACATTGTTGGAAACCATATAAGTTTTATGTATTAGGTGTTGAATTTAATAATTTTTTGAATTTTATGTGAAGGATAATTGATAGTTTGTGTCTTTTACATGTTTTAATCAAATAATTTGAATTTTTTTAGTTTAGTTGTGTTATTTTACTTATTTATTTATTTTATTAATTATATATAACAAGAAATAATAATAAATTAGATGTGGGTTCTAAACTCAACCCACCCCTACCCTTGAATGTAAGGAAAGTAGGGCCGATAAGGGTTTTGCATTTTCGTGTACAAGACGGGTTTAGATTCTCAAATCCAATGCACTACGAATTTTGGGATGGATACGGGCTGAGAGGTTAAGGGAGATGGATATGATCTAGAATTTACTAAACCCTCCCCAAACCCGCCCAATTGCCATCCCTACATGTAATTGCTTTTGGCCTACGAAATTAAATAAAAATATTATATATTTATAATATTTTATGCTAAATAATATATATAATGTCATTATATAAGGGGATATTTGCTTTGCTTTGCTTTGGTGCATGTCATAAATTAATGCGGTTTTGCACTAGTATGTATAAAATTTATTTCAATACATATAATGAATATGGATCACATTATAATTAATAATATTTATATTAACCGGGAGAATGACGGTTCAGACCAAGGTTAGAAATTTTAGGCCCAAAGTACAGTTGGAGTAGGTGCCAACTCGGAATTGATGCTAATTCATGGACGGACATTGATGTATAGAATGGAAGTTTTTGACATTTTGAATGTTTATAGGTCTATAGTGGAACTCAAAAATCTACATTGAACCTGTCCATACTTCCGTAAAATTAACATACATTCCCATAATGGGAACGTGGTTTCAAACCCATGATACTGCACACTCATATCATAATAATGATATCCTTACCAAATACTAAAAGTATTCAAACATTCTTGTTGACGCATTGTTTTTAATTATTTTCATTGCATACATACATACATATATAAATAAATAATACAAAAAATATAAAAATACAATATAAACACACACATATATATAGGATCGGATAAACAGATTAATCCGAATTCGACCCAATTTAAAAATCCAATCCATTCCGATCCAAAAATTCATCAGAAGTATATCCGAATCCGTGCCAAAATGTCAAATATGTCTCATTTATAAGTCCATTGTAGACTATAAATCATACACGTGCCCATTTATTTCAAATTATTTTCATGTTATATTATATGTTTTTCTTTCACACCATTGATTTGCAAAGTTTTTCCTCTCTTCTTTCTCTTTCTTCGTCATCTTATTTATTATTTTATTTGGAACTTTTGGTAGGTGGAAGTATTTATTTTCTCATTGTTTTTTTAGGCTACTAAATCTATATTTGACCGAAAGACTCGTAGGGTCTTAGCTCTACAAGCTCATTTTTGGAAGAGTCTTAATTAAGATTTCCTTCTATCATCAAGTAATATAAAATGTTAATAGAATTCAATGTCTTGTTTTAATTGTTTTGTCTTTTATTATGTATTTGGCATAGTTTGCCTTTATTAAATAAAATGTTTGTATTTGATATGTTTTTAAAATCGAGAAAAGTATTTGATAAATAGTTTATAAACAATTACAGTGGAACAATGAATAAATGCCCAACTGTTAGATGAAGCGTTAAAATAACAGTTGATGCACACATAAATCAGAACTCACTTTTGAGAATATCAATACGTACAAATGAATATGATAGGAAAAATATTGATTTAGCAATGACATAGCGGTTCTTTGATAAATGGCTATCACAAAACACCCACAGAAGAAAATACATACTTAATAAATAATCTATTAAATTATCAAAATGCTTCTATCTTTGATAGAATTATCAAACATTCAAACTGTTCTCTCTCTCTCTCCATCCATGGCATCTTGCCCTAAGGTTTCTCATTCTTTTGTTTGGATGCTGAAGTGGCTGAACCAATTGACTTATTACTATATCTTCCAATGCATAAAATAATTAATAAAAAAACAAAATATATATTCGATGGTATTGTGACCAATCCAACTTCATATCAAGCGATTTGCGACCTCTGTGATAACCTTATTCATTAAAAACAAATCAATAAATTGTACAGTTCATCCATTTCAGCTGTTATTAATCTGCAGCATCTGTCTGTCATCAACTGGTTGGGTTAGGAGTTAGGAACTTAGGACCGAGTCGGTATATATAAAAGAAGCTTGTTGACCCTGCCATCCATATTATTGGTGCTCACTATATTTATGAAAATTGGCAAATCCTTTTAGATAAACACTTAACCTAATTTCGGTTTGTTGTACAGATTACATACACCACTAACGGATATGCACGTGGCAATTGTCTAATTCACGGTCATGAGCCATATGGACTTTTTAATTTCTTCTTACCAAAAAACAAACTCTTCAACTCATCTATTTCTCTTTTTTGTTTCTCTTCTCTTGCACGAAATCGGATTTACTCCACACAGAATACGCCCCATACCAACCTCACGCTACATTGCATTGGGACATCTTCTAATGAATGACAATATCTAAGAATGGGAGATATTCTCAATGTACGACTAAAAATTCTTAATAGATCTTTTGATTAAAATCTTCTAACAAGAGTTACGAAAATGTCCAAAGTGATGATATCATAACACTAAACACCCAACCACGAAGTGATGGCATCAAACCAAAAAATACAAGCGAGTTTCCAATTGAAGCCATTATGGACCAGATCTAATCTACCAACTTTGAACATTACTGTGGAAGACAAACTTAGTTAACTTGCCAGAATAGATTTCATAGACGGAGCTTGGTCTATGAAAGTTTAACTTTTCTTTGCATTTATTGGCCTTACATAATTGTTATTAACTCGGTCAATGAAAAGTTAATTTGGTTAGTTAGCTAGTAATAGGGGTGGAATCAAAGCAAATTACTTGTGAGCTGCCTGGTGGTGAACTGCCTGTAGCGAACTGCCTAGTGGCGAGCTGCCTTATGGTGAACTACCGGTAACGAGCTGTCTGTAGCAAACTGCCTATTTGTCAAGAAGATATCAGGTGTCATAATGTCATTGAAGGGCCAAATAACACAAAGATGATTGCAATTTCATTGTGAGGTTATAGTCGTCAGCCAATTGCGTGGTTCCTAATTTCTCTAATTAATTTATGAGGTGGGTGGGATCAAGACTCGCTGTGCTGTAGCCCATCTGTGTCGTCTGTATCTAACTATCTACTATTGTTTATTTTTTGTCATTTTTTTTTTATCACGTTCCACGTTCCTTTGATTTTTAGTCTTGGGTTCAGATGTGATGGTTGTTGAATTAATCCACGAAACTTGCAAGAAATTGTCATGGCTTTCAAAACATTCAAATCATAGACCCTTTTCTCCTACTAGGTCGAGATCTCTTTCTCCTGGCAATTAAGTCGCATATATTGTATATAAAAGGAACAATCGGTGGTGTTTTCCTTCCAGTACTAGCATTTCCATCATATATAGGTCTAGCTAGATATATACTTGTGATCGACCTAACTGTCACTGTACTTTCTCCGGCGAGTCCTCGTCTGTGAAACATGAAGAGTCCAGGCAAACCCATGTCTACTTTTGGCCTTGTGTGTCTACTGCTTCTCATCTTCAATACAGAAGCAGCCACCTTTCATGAAGTTGGTAATAACAAATTAAGTCTCTCTGATGATTTGTTTGTTTTTTCAAGTACGTGAATATATATGAAGACAGGAAACTAACTCGATCGGTGCTTTTCATGGTGCAGAGGATGAGAGAGAGTTTGATTATTTGGAAGGGAGTGGGAAGGGACCTGATCACTGGGGAGAGCTGCATGAAGAATGGGCGGCCTGTAAGAATGGAGACATGCAATCCCCAATCGATCTGTTGAATGAACGGGTGCAACTGGTGCCAGGATTAGGGAGACTCAAGAGAAGCTACAAGCCTTCAAATGCCATCCTCAAGAATAGGGGCCATGATATTGCGGTAAGCACGAGAAATTTCACTAGTTCTATTTGCCTTTCAGGTGGATATTATCTACTTTAATCTGTGTAGTGCTCTCTCTCTCTCTCTCTCTCCAGTAAGAGACAGCTTCCAGTATCCGATCTTCTGAGTTCTGAGTAAACCTATACCCTTTGTGGGAGCATTTGCTGCATCTAATGTGGGTAGTTGAACCAGTTTCAACTACTGCTACTACTACTACAGAGAAAAATCCTGTGCCTGGGCTCTGGTCTAAAAGTCCAACCAAGATAACCTCGCATCTTACCCTGGTCCGGTCATAGAGGATGCTATGTTGGACTGTTGGGGTCAAATCCAGGCGGACGGAAGAGACCACTGACGAAGAATCGCATGATAGACTAAGCCCCCGTTTGCCTGTACTGTTTTTGTTGGATAAATAAGTTAATAAGCACTTATGAGTGTTTGGTAAAAAAAACACTTTTTTTCAAACGGTAATTACTAATTAGTGTGGTATAAGTATTTTGAAAGTACGTTGTGGGTCAAGACAGGCAAGAAATTCAATAACTGCTTTTTCAAAAATTTTGAGATAATTCTAGATGGGCTCATTTCCTGAAAAAGTGCTTTTTTTAACTTATTTTCTGAACATACACATATAAGTGCTATTTGATGTGATCCTGGCCTAAAATAAGCACTTTTAATTTCCAATAAATGCTTAAAAATAATCACTCTCAATTCTCAAATGGAGGAAAATTGATTTTATTCCAAATAAAGTTATGCTTTTGGGGGTGAGTCTGACTGTTAGAGATGGGT